TTAAAACAACCAACTCTCACGTAAACATTAGAACGAGAATGCACTCATTACTGCAGAGATGGAATTCAGCCATTCATGAGAGATTTGCCTCCATGACCCAAACACCTCCAACAAGGTCCCAGCTCCCACACTGGGGATCACATTTCAACATGAAATTTGTGGGGAGTGGACATGCAAACTACATCACATGATGCATTTTGGAATAGCAACTCATTATATTATATGGTACTTTGCTCATTATTTATCCACAAAGGATATGGATGGTATTCATGCATAAATAAAGCTCTAGTAGAATCCTAACACTATGCTAACCTTGTTAAACAACATTACGATTTATGCAGGACATATAAATCAGTCTAGATATGCCAATTTAGATATTACTGATGCATTTCAAATATCTTAAACTGAGAGTAATGTTTTCAATCACAATTTTATAAGCAAACAGAACGTTAATCAATATGTCAGTAAACTACTGCCCTGTCATCTGGACTCCAGAAACCCATAAACATTTTTAAATAGGGATCACTCAGTAGAAAATAAGTCTTCTTTAAGTCCCTAATTCCATAGAAAGGTTTTTTGGGGGTACCTTCTAAAATTCAAACTCTCTGAGTAGCAGAGGATCTAAGCCACTGCCATCTTCTGAATGTGCTCCTTCCAAATCTAGGTGTTGCCAGTGTGATACTACTATGAAGTGGAACCTTGAACAGGTGATTAGGCCAGGAGGGCTCTTAGCTCATGAATGGATTGGTCGCTCTTATAAAGAGGTGTGACAAAGAAAGCTGGCTCTCTCTTGCCCTCCCACCTTCTTCTAGGTGGGACACAGCAAGAAACCCTCACCAGTCTAAGTAGTGGTACCTTGATCTTAGACATACTAGTTTCCAAGACTGTGTGAAATAAACTTCTGTCCTATTTAAATCACTCAGCCTTAGGTATTCTGTCGTAGCAACACAAATGGCCTGACAGTCATAAGCCACAGTCACTGCATGAGGTTTGACTGGAACACTAACTTTGGGAAAGTCAGTATGCTATGTCATCAGTCCAAGGTTTGTGAAAGTTTACTTGGTAGGGTCACACACAAGGGAGTCTCAGGCTGACTCACCATCATCAACATGCCTGTAACTCTTACTGCACTCAGAGTAACAGGATCTCCTGTCTTTCATTATGCAGCTTGCACTTTTATATGTGATATAAGATATTTGGTGTCCTTCAAAAATCCCTCCTCAGCTTATAAAGCCTAATTTCCTTTGGATACAGTTGTATACCTCTATAATTTATACATGTAGATGTAGGTAAAAGTGTTTAATGATTATAAACTTATCTCTGCATTTTTTTAAATTTTACCATCTCTAAAATAAACTGGCATCTTAATCCATGAGAGTGTTTTTTTTTTTTTTTTCCTTAGCAACACACAAAGCAGTGGTACACATCACAACTAGTGACTAGTGGCGTATCAGAAATGATTATATATAATAGATTTCCCCAATAAAAGTAAGCCCTTGTTCCATTTCAGTTAAAAAATAACATGGAAGAAAATAACATTTCAACATCTTTTTTAAAAAATACCTTTCTAAGTTAATACTGCTCTATATTAATGGAAATAATTTACATCTAGGTCATCTATTTCTAAGAGATAGATTTTTAGAAAGGATTTCTAGAAAGAGATGTATAGTTAGATAATATGAATTTCTCATTTTCAAAATGGTAGCCTATATAACTCAGAAATATATATGGTTTCCCTTCCTGTGTTTTGCTCAAAATAATTTACTGTCTTTTGTTGCCTTCTTTGTATATGCTTAACTTATCTAGAGTGTATCTTGATATATGATAAAATACATTGGGTGAGATGACAGGGGTAGTTTTGTGTAATGAAATCCCTGTCAGCAGAAGAAACAGACCCTGTAATGAGTGTTTTGCTGACTGAGAGTCAGAGACCACATCTCACTTCTATTTTTGAAAGCAGAGATGGTAAATGAGACAACCTTGAGACCATGGCAGGTCCTTGTTACCTTCTGACCTTACTTGAGTTTTTAACAAGTAAGGTCAGAAGGCAACAAGGACCTCAGGTCCTCTCAGCATCAGGAAATAAATTTAGTGACCACCGTCTCTTCACTTTCTAAATATTAAATTCTTCCTTTTCTTCTTTTTTTCCCCTCCTTCCTTTCTTCCTACTTTCCTTCCTTCCTTCCCTCCTTTCTTCCTTCTCTTTCTTTCTGACAAGTCTTGCTCTGTTACCCAGGCTGGAATGCAGTGGTGATATGGTTTGACTCTATATCCCCACCTACCTCTCATCTCAAATTGTAATCCCCACATGTCAAGGGAGGAACCTAGTGGGAGGTGATTGCATCATGCGGGTGGTTTCCCTTATTCTGTTTTCCTGTTAGTGAGGGAGTTCTCGTGAGATCTGATGGTTTAAAAGTGGACTTCCCCTGAACTCTGTCTCTCCTACTGATTCCTGAAGAAGGTGTGTGCTTGCTTATTCTTCAGTTTCTGCCATGCATGTAAGTTTCCTGAGGCCTCCCAGTCATGCAGAACTGTACATCAATTAAATCTCTATCCCTTATAAATAATCCAGTCTGGGTATTTCTTCATAGCAGTGTGAAAACAGACTAATGCAAGTGGCATGATCTTGTTCACCACAGCCCCAAAGTCCTAGGCTCAAGCAATCCTCCCACATCAGCCACCCGAATGGCTGAAACTACGCATATGCACCATCATGCCTAATTAGTTTATTTGACTTCTCTGTTGAGTCAGGGCCTCACTATGTTTACCAGGCTGTTCTCGAACTCTTGACCTCAACTGATCCTCCTGTCTCAGCTTCCTAAAGTGTTGGGTTTACAGGCATGAGCCACAATGCCCAGCCAATTCTCCACTTAATAACTGAAGACATATACAAGACATATATTGATTATACACCAAGTTCCTGGGTGTGTATTTCTAGCCCATGAACTCCAACCCACAAACACTAGAGCATGGAGGGAAAGGCCTCTCTGTGTTCAGAGTCCCTCAGGAACATGTTGCCTGCTGGGAACCTCCCAATAAAGATACTAATAATTACGTAATTAGTGTCTCTCAGATATATGCTAAAACAATCATGAGTCCTAGACAATAGCCTTATTGCTTAAAAAACACATCAATGATAGACTGGATAAGAAAATGTGGCACATATACACCATGGAATAATATGCAGTCATAAAAAAGAATGCATTCATTTCCTTTGTAGGGACATGGATGAAGCTGGAAACCATCATTCTCAGCAAACAGACACAAGAACTGAAAACCAAACACTGCATGTTCTCATTCATAAGTGGGAGTTAACAACGAGGACCCACGGACACAGGGAGGGAAACATCACACACTGGAGCCTGTCAGGGGGTGAGGAGCTACGGGAGGAATAACATTAAGAGAAATACCTAATGTAGATTACGGGGTGATGGATGCAGCAAACCACCACTGCACGTGTATACCTATGTAACAAACATGCATGTTTTACACACGTACACCAGAATGTAAAAGTATAATAATAATTAAAAAAGAAACACAGCTACTATCTTCTTCATTTTTATGATTAAAAATGCAAGATCAAAGATCTACAAGAAGATGTGCTTATTTTTCCAAAGAGAGTGTCTGTACTTTGGAACCATATTTCAGGTATTACACATTATGTTTTATCAAGCTGCAAAGAATGTAAAATGAGCACCTTTGTGCTCAGTATTTTTCAGAAATAGGAAGGGAGTTAGCAAAAACAATGGCTTTTTTTCTAACCATTTTCAAGAGACTTTGCAGAAAAATTGGCTTCTAAAATAATAGATCTGAAGCTACGTAATCAAGAGGACTCAAAGCTAACTCTACTCGGAAGCTTTCCAGAGCCTAGATGAGGTGATGCACACCGTTACAGTGAAGGCCCCTTGATCTCATGCCAACATTTGGGAAATGACACTGGATTGAATAGCCCCAGCCTTCCTCGCTTCATGCTGTGTGGTTTTCTGACTTTCAAGATGAAGGACAGGCTTCATGTGGTTGAGATAACCAAAAGGTAGGTTCTTTGGTGGGAAACAGGCTGACTGCTGCCATGCCTTACCGGTTCTAATGCATGGAAGATACAGCAAGGACTTCACACACCAAATGTGCCACACCTCTGTCTTGCAGAGATACAGCAGACCTGACGTGTAGAGATCAGCAGTTTTGTGAAGGCAACATGACTTATGACTTTTCAGTTATGTGGAAGTTAATAGTTGTTGTTCATATTCTATGACAACATATGAGATAATTTGAGAGGATTTGATGAAAAGTTCTAAAGACCAAAAATCCACCAAAAAAAACATAAAAAAAAAAAAAAAAAAAAAAAAAACCTCCAAATACAGGTACCTATAAATGTGGACCCAAACAAATACATTAGCAAAGGAAACCATGAAATAAATGTGCTTTTCTTGGATTCAGTCTGGCTCCCAATGCAGGTAAGTTTCTCCTCATTCCAAAGAGTCCTATACGGGAACATACACTAGGCTGTCTCTTCTAGACCCTCCTGTGACCTTGAGCAGGATCTACAGGTTGGCCCCACATGAAGGTGAAAGTAAGACCCTTTAGTTTATTTTTTTCTCATCTTTCCTTATGTCAGCCACTGGAATTACAGTTCCCAATGGAAATTTATGGGTGTGGAAGTTCCTGTTTTATTAGTGCCACAAGGGGCAAAATATTCCACACCAAACTCTGGAGGGAAAAAAAAATCCAAGAATAAAACAGAAACCATAAATTCCATTATCAAATCAAGACAGTTTTCTCTTAAGACCTTTCTCTTAAAACAGACAATAAGCCTATTACAGCATCCCATGTGTCCCTGTGCAAGCCAAGAGTGAAGTGATTTGAGAGAGCACAGACTGGGTTTATAAGAAAGGTTCTCATTTGAAAAGGTGCAGACAGCGTGACGGTGTGGTGGAGGATCACCAGGAGAGCATGGCTCCTGTGGGCGGCATGGTCAGAGGATGGAGAAGGCAGACACTCACCGGACACGCGGAGATGCTCTGTTCCCACTGCGTCATGCTCAGGCTCTGCTCCAGGCTCGTGCACTTCTTCATCACCACGTCCCAGCCACAGTAAGGGTCCTGGGCCCCAATGCAGGTGCTGGAAACACACACCAAATCGTCAACAGAAAAGCAGCTTTACCCAAGATAAGATACACAAGCCAAGGTGAACTGGTCCCTTGGCAGAGAGGTATGGGATTTCTTAGCCATGAAACCCAATGGATATCTATTTAGGCTATACACTGGAGAACATAGGTATGTACACACCCCAGTAAGTATCTAATATTAAATCATTTATATAGACATTTTGAAAAATACATGTTTTAATCTAACACACATGGCAGATTACCAAAGATGAGCCAACACGAGCAATTTGGTGTCACAAATAGTACTAAAATCAAGATTCTACAATGCTCAAAAACAGAGTAGCTATTATCACCACCACTGCCACCATTATCATCCTCTTCCTCTTTATAACGGGTATTACTTGTTGAACACCTACTGTCATATTAATTATAACACAAACTATCATAGCATGAGGACACTTACAAGATTTGATAGGCAGGTGTTGTTTTCACTTTATTTAGCATTACCATCACCATCATAACCATCACTATTACCAACACTTTATTGATGAGAAAACTGAGGCACAGAAAATTTGAGAAATTAGCCCAATGACATGCAGATACATCCAAAACCCTTCTACATGAATAGTTCAAACTCAAAAAATAGGAACATCTTCCTTTTGTTGACTGTAGCTTAAATGTATTAAAATTTTCAATGTAATAGTAGTTTCATATAGCCATGTCTATAATATCTTACATATGATATCAGAAGTATTGTAAATGGTGGATATTTTCTTTATAGCTTTGTCTAAATGAAAGAGGTCATATACTAAATGGGCATTATTGGATGAGGACTGTGGCATTTACATTATAAATACAAAGTTAGGTAAATGAGGGACGAAGAAGACAGAGACAATAGTGATGGAGACAGAAATATACAGAAGATAATGTCATGGGCACGCGGGACATTGAAACTGGGAATTCTGTGAATGAACCAAGAAGTCGGAGGTGCAGGAAACAGATGTGAGGAAAGAGAGGTAATGCCAGCCTGGAGGTGCTAATGCCCCCGTCGTAGAGGTAGGACGGTACTTACAGGGAGGGAGGATCTGTTATAAACTAGCCAAAAGTAAGACCAAAAATCATGGCTTAACCATCAACCCTGTCTGCAGGGACATAGCATAAATAAGTAATGATGAGTTGTGTATATTCATGATACAAAATAATCATTGTTAACACACCTAATGTATTAATCATATATAAAGCACTGTTCTAAGAATGTGACTTATATTTGGTCATTTAAACCCCATGACAAACTTATAAATACAGTACCTCAATCAGGCACTACATTGATTCTCACTTTGAAATGAAGAAACTGAAGGAGGGAAAGATCGATTTGAAGGCTGCACAGCTAGGGAAGATATGTTTACAGTTGATAAATCAAGTGATATACAGTAAGTTATACAAGTATCATTTATCAATTACCTAAAGAAGAGCTAATGATTTAAAAAGGGTGCTTCTCAGAAGTAGGGCTAGGTTGTGGTACAAAAAGATGTTACACAATTACCTGTTCCTATAACCTCATTAGAATTCCTTGATATGTGACCACATGCAGACATGACTTCCATTCAAAACTCAAGACAGTTACAAAAGACAAGGTGAAAGCCTATTTCCTCAATAGTTAGTAGGTACTGTTTATACTAACTCACATATTCTGCAGATATTTTATCCACATATATAAGCATGTTTGTGTGCACATATCTATATAAATACATATGTATTTTGTTATTAAGGGCAAATATGACATATATTACATATAATTGTACATAATACACACAAGTGTGATTGTACACACTCTGTCACATTTTGCTTTTCACACCCAATAATATATCATTGCATCATTCTTGTCAGTAAATGTAGCTCTATTGTATTCCCTTTAACAGCTGTATAGTGCTCTATTTCTTTGATGAACCAACATTTACTTAAATTTCCCTTTTATTATTTTCCATGTTTTATTTCCATTGGTTATTTGGGAACAGGTGGTTTCTGGTTACATGAGTGAGTTCTTTTGCGGTGATCCGTGAGATTTTGGTGTTCCCATCACCCAAGCAGTAGACAATATACACTGCACCCAATTTGCAGTCTTTTATCCCTCACCCCATCCTCCCCTTTCCCCCTGAGTCCCCAAAGTCCATTGTTTCATTCTCATGCCTTTGCATCCTCATAGCTTAGCTCCCACTTATGGGTGAGAACATGTGATGTTTGCTTTTCTATTCCTGAGTTAATTTATTTAGAATAATAGTCTCCAGTCTCATCCAGGTTGCTGTGAATGCCATTAATTAATTCCTTTTCTGTGGCTGAACAGTAGCCCATTTTGTATGTATACCACAGTTTCTTTAATCACTCCTTGATGGATGGGCATTGGGGTGGTTTCACCTTTTTGCAATTGTGAACTCTGCTGCTATAAACATGCATGTGCACGTATCTTTTTCATATAATGACTACTTTTCCTCTGGGTAGATACTCAGTAGTGGGATTGCTGGGTGGTAGTTCTACTTCCAGTTCTCTAAGGAATCCCCATACTGTTTTCCACAGTAGTTGTAGTAGTTTACATTCCCACCAGCAGTGGGAATTTCCCCTTTAAAATTATTAAATTTTCCCTTCAAAAGCAAGGCTGCTGTGCTCATATTTGCACAGATTTTCTCTGTTAAATTTTACTAATGGAACTGTTGAGTCAAAAGTAATGGGCATTATTAAATTTGCACCAACAAACAGCACAGGAGTGCCTCTCCTGCCTCACCCTGTTACACACTGGATATTATCAAAATTTTTTAACTCACCCAAAAAGTGAGTCTATCAAAAGGCTGGTATATGAAAAAAAACAGAATGTATCAATCGTCTGTTTCCATTTCTTTCACTTGTGTGTTAGGTTAAGGCTTAGTATAGGTGCATATACTTATGAAACATTTGTATTTTCTATGTGTAAACTTCCTATTCATATCCAATTCCTGATTCGATCTCTTTCATGAATCATTCACTTTATTACACGGTCATTGGAAGGGGTGATTTTTGCATTAAAAATCACCCTGAGTAATATTTTCCTGAGTAACGTTAAAATATTATAATATTATAATATATATTATAATGTTAAAATATTATAATATTATAATAATATAACAATGTTAAAATATTACTCAGTGGCCCTGAGTAATATTTTCCCTGTTTGACATCACTTTTTTTTCTGAGATATACATGTTATAAAATTTTATACATAAAATTTATGAACATTTTCCTTTATAGCATCTAATTTGTGTTCCACGTTAAGATCTTTCTCAGTTAAATCGTCCTGACTTAAAGATTAAACATCAAATATTATAGAAAGATTAAAGATTATAAAAACATCAACCCTGCCCCCAATCCTTCTGCTTCTTCTAAGGTATCATTTCTTTGCCTCCCTATCCTTTATCCATTTGAAATGTATTTTTCTTCTCCTCAAAAACAAAAAAAAAAATAAAGAATCATAAATAGATATTTAACCTAAACATCTCAGACCTCACACAAAACAAACAGATTCAGGTGTTAGAGGAAGAATAATAGATATGAGTATAGTTTCTTTTCCTTTTATTTAAATAGCATCTTTTACAAATACTAAAATTTTATAACAGAGGCTGTGAGCGTAAGCATTTTAAAATCTCTAGCTTTGGGAATATAATTCCGAATAATGTACTATTTTAACTAAGAATAATTTTGATGATCATTTTCATTGAATAAAACTTGAACCTGCATTTTTATTGTGAAAACACATAAAAATTTCTCAGTTTTCAAGATGCACAATTGATTTAATAACACTTGTTTTGTGCAGGGAATCGAGAAGATGAGAATAAATTATCACAACCAATGACTAAGACCATGAAACGTGTGCATTTTTTATCTAGGGCTCAGCAAATTCTTCCTGAAGAGCTTTGCACGTGCACTGTTGTTCTGTAGAAAAATACTCAGAGGAAGTTCCTGGCAATCTGGAGACCCTTCAAGTGCAACCCATGAGACAGACGTGGGTGGGTTGAGTGCTAAGAGTCCTTCTGCTCCCTGCTGTGACCTCACTTGCTGTGCCAAGGAGATCGGACCTGACAGTGTCCTCATCTTACTAAACTAGCCAAAAGTGACATATTTATATTTGCGGCTCCTAAGGCAAAACCTGAAATTAATTCTTTTATTGACAAAATAACATAGTGTATATTACATATGGGAATTCTCTGTGTATGATTCTATACACAGAGCAAACGTATAGTAAGGCTATACATAGAGATCATTCAAAAGGCCTGCATTCCTTTTCATGTTTCTTATTAAAGCAACATGACTAGTAGGTAAAATTAAACCTCCAAAGAGGGAAAAATTCCACAGACTCTCTAAGTTTACCCCAGACTTCCCGCGCAAAGCAGCTTGGAGACTTAAAACAAAGCCACAGTATTAGAGGAAAGCAGTTCAGCTGTTTTAAAGGAAAAGCTGTGTGTAATAACATCTCTTTCTTCTGATAATGCCAATGGTTCATCACGTTCTTAACATTACATTTATCCTTTAAAATTTTAAAACGTCTGTGCAAACACAAATGCCCATTCAATAAAATACCATGTGTATTTAAATATGATTTCCTTAAGCAAAATACTTTACACCATGGGCAAAATTCTAATGGGATCTATCTTAAGAAAATCTATCACACAATTTTATTTTTGGAAGCTGAGTCTCTTAAAGAAACTATGTGGAAAATCATATAGAGAATTTTGATTAACTGGAGCCCATAATGGGTTTCCAATTAAAGCAGCCATCTTGAAAATGGCTTTTCCACTTTGAAAATGTATTTCCTTGTATGATGAATATTTTTAATAAGTTTTAGCTTGAGTTGATTATTTCAAATTATAAACATATGTCATAGCATCATTTTGTACCCCATAAATATATTCTGTACAAATATAATTGTCAACATTCAATTTAAAAATTTCCATAATTTGTGTTTTTTGAGGCAATGCATGAAAATAACTTT